TTCTCAGTTTTCTGAATATTTGAATCCTATTGTTTATTTTGATCATGGAGTTTCTGAACTATATCTCCAATTAACTTGCGTTAACTTAAGTTAGCTATTTGATTTTAGTTCAAGAAGTTATTCTTGAGAATGCAAAATAAAAACACAAAAGGTAGCCTAGGTAAATCTGCATGTTTGATGAGATCATGCAGTATTTTCAAGCGTAAGGTATTTGCGTTTTGCTAATTTTTGATTCCCTTGCAATTTTTAAGTTGGAAAAAGCTATTTGTGAAAGCAACTATGGAGAAAACATGAAAGCTATCAGCGTTTTGAGCAAAGGACAAAATCAGAAAAGTGAGATTACTAAGCTGTTATTTTTTTCTGTCGCCGAGCCTATCATCTCAGGTCTTTCAGGAACTATTTGGTCGATTTTGTTTTGTTTTTTAGTTATTCAGTATTAATGTTATTAGGTTTACCAAAGTACCCACCAGTCTTAATATGTTCCTCAGTTGTTATCATTCAAACAAGGGGAAGAGTTAAAAGTTGATAAGGTTATAGCCTACACTGATGAATAGTCCTTGAAGCTTATAGATCTAAAGATCACGGCAGCTGTTATTGCGACTGACTCAATAGGACATAACCTTTTACCTCTTTCTCAAAGAGAGCCTTGGTGCCCATCCTTTGATATGAAAATGAGATTTCATTCACATGCAAATTAAATTCATTTTCCTATGAATGGTTGTGCACTAGGTCTCGCTTTGATAGAGAGGCTCAAGGCAAGTCGGAAATTTGGTTATTTCTTTAATGAGTCCGATTACGACCAACGCAGAGATGTGCCACTATTGTTCTTAGCTTTAATTCATAAGACCATGAATAGTAGAAGTGGAACTGAATATGAAATAGCTCAGCATGCGTTCGTGAATATTCCCAGTACCTTAACTAGAGAATAATTACAAGGACTGAAAAAGGAAAGACTATTTTTATGGCTTTAACTCTATGCATGAGTCAATTATGACAAGATTAAGGCTGCTCGGTGGGGGTGAAAGTGGGAGCTATTTCTATGATTATTCATTGTTTTAGACTGTTTTCGGGGAGATAATCATTATTTAAGAAATAGAAAACATGTACCGTGTTTCTATCGAGTTATAGAAACACGAGTGGAAGTTTGGGAGAACGAGAAATGCTGTGGGAACACNGCTGTTATTTTTTTCTGTCGCCGAGCCTATCCTCTCAGGTCTTTCAGGAACTGTTTGGTCGATTTTGTTTTGTTTTTTAGTTATTCAGTATTAATGGTATTAGGTTTAACAACGTACTCACCAGTCTTAATATGTTCCTCAGTTGTTATCATTCAAACAAGGGGAAGAGTTGAAGGTTGATAAGGTTATAAACTACACTGATGAATAGTCCTTGAAGCTTATAGATCTAAAGATCACGGCAGCCGTTATTGCGACTGACTCAATAGGACATAACCTATAGCCTCTTTTTCAAAGAGAGTCTTGGTGCCCATCCTTTGATATGAAAATGAGATTTTATTCATATGCAAATTAAATTCATTTTCCTTTGAATGGTTGTGCACCAGGTCTCGCTTTGATAGAGAGGCTCAAGGCAAGTCGGAAATTTGGTTATTTCTTTAATGAGTCCGGTTACGACCAACGCAGAGATGTACCACTATTGTTCTTAGCTTTAATTCATAAGACCATGAATAGCAGAAGTGGAACTGAATGTGAAATAACTCAGCATGCGTTCGTGAATATTCCCAGTACCTTACTTAGAGAATAATTACAAGGACTGAAAAAGGAAAGACTATTTTTATGGCTTTAACTCTATGCATGATTCAATTATGACAAGATAAAGGCTGCTTGGTGGGGGTGAAAGAGGGAGCTATTTCTATGATTATTCATTGTTTTAGGCTGTTTTCGGGGAGATAATCATTATTTAAGAAATAGAAAACATGTACTGTGTTTCTATCGAGTTATAGAAACACGAGTGGAAGTTTGGGAGAACGAGAAATGCTCTGGGAACATGAGCCGCAGGCGAGTGTTTCCACAGCTTTTTCGAGTTCTCCCAAACTTTCACCAATGTTTCTATAACTCGATAGAAACCAGGAGAACATGTTTTCTATTTCTTTTACAAAACACCGCGACGAAAAAAGGAAAACAACTTGTTAACTTTGATTATCAAAATGTAAATTCTCTTTGCTCGCGCCATCATTACGTCAACAGCTCGTGCTAGTTCTATGTTTCTATTGAGTTTTAGTATAATTTCAGAGCTGAACAAAGAGTTTCCAGTAATCTGATTGGTCGAGTGATTCCATATATGACGTTTTATTATATAGACACGAGTGTTTTACTGGAAAATACACGACTCGTTAGGAGCCTATGGACTCGTAAAATTCATACGAAACTACATCCGGGACTCGAGTGGCGTATTTTCCATATCCTCACTAGTGAAGATATCGATGATTTCACTGATATCAAGTTTGTCTCTTAAATTGTACTTAAATTCGTTGGTGTTAGATTGAAACAGCGCGCGTATTTTCTTAGGACTGTTTTCTAAACCTTTTTCAATGATTATTTCTGACATAGGTTAACAAAGATAATGAGCAAGTATCCTCCATATTTTAAGCCGGCAGTATACACGTTATTCCGCTTCAGCGTCATAGGATAAAGTAAAGACCAGGTCCCATGTACTCCTAAGACGTTGCAGTTACGTCCCTAAGAGTTGTGAATTAAAAGCGTGAGTCAAATTCAGAATTCGATGTTAGCGGTTATCGACAGCAATATCAAAATCAAAATCAAAACTGCTGAGCCACGCTAAGGCTCTCACTTCTCACTTAAGGTTAGTAATTGACTGATTCCATGTTTTCAGTTCAGAATCTAACATTTTCTGTGCTTAAAGATGTCATATTAACGTCATCAAGCTGCTTTGGAGTCTGTACGAGGTCCTGAGTTTTTCGTGGTACACAACCAGGGCACCGTGGGCGTAATTTTACTTCCTCCATGGCCACCATGATAGCATTTAGTACACTGGAGACAATGCATAAGCCTAATAGAGTATGAAGTATAAAAACTATACTGATAACCACTTTCGAACTGGCTTGCCCTAGATCATCTAATTCGTTGTCGAGTTTGGGACCCGTGATATTGATGATTGGGGTTTCTCTACTTATAACGTAGTCACCAAAACCGATCGTGCTCAGTGTCACAAACCAGTAGTACACTCCTTGGACGAAAGTCCAACCTTGAAGTAACGTCGATAACAGGCCATTTCCCACTATTAACAACACCATGAACGAAAATAAGATCACAGCACTCTTTGTTTTAACTTTTTGTGGTTCCTCTTTTTTAAGGATTTTCTTTTCAAATCTTGTGACAATTGTGTTTGCGAGTTCAGCAATGAGCTCACCGGCGGATTTTAATGTGAGCATTGTGATGGGAATCCCAAGTAAAGAGACGAAAATACACAACATCTGTCCTGCGGCTGTTTGAGGGGTGATGTATCCATAGCCTGTAAAAATAAAACAAGTTGAGCACAAAATTTACAAAAAGTACGTTGAAAATTAGCAGGAGGCAACACAAAATTTTTTTTTTTTCCGCCCTCAAAATAGCGAATATGAATACTGTAAACAAATGGAACTGCAAATAAATGTGTTTTCTCTACTACGGTTTATCAGGCTACTTGGATGGCTTGTTGCTTCTACTACGTAGATGTTACTTCGACCAGAATACCGACTCAGTTGGTGAATGAAAGTTTTCAAAGTAAAAAATAATGCTCCATTTTGCACATCAACTCTGTCATTACTACAGATCCCAGTATACATCAACTTTCAGTAGCGTTCCATATGTTAAGAGTTAACGTGAAAAAAAAAAAAAGCAAACCAAAGGCTGCGTTCCTTTAGGATGATCCGGATCAGGATCAAATGATCTAAGATCACTTAGGAACCAATGAATCCATGCCCAGGATAGACTCATCGCTTCCTCTGTTAATGTGGACGGTGTTTCCTCTTCATTTTCAATGCCGATGAAAGTTATGACAAAAAACTTTCAGCTTTACTGACGGCTTTTGCCATGTTTGAATAAAGATGATCTCATGTTACTTCGTTTAATTTACAACATTCATATTAAATGATATGTAGTTCGTTGGAATATCTTATCCAGTCGCCTAAAACAAATTGCTTCTTTTCAAAAACGATGGACCAGCTCTTGGCATTGTTTTAGATTGAGAAAAAGGCATTTTATCCCTGTTCCGTTCTTTATTAATCTCATGATCTATTAGAGTACAGACGTTCAGATGACGTCATCAGTTTTTCTTCTTTTTTTATATAAAGCAGATAGATTTCATATTGCCCTGCGTCTTTTCTAAAATAGATCACATAAAACGTCAAAATGTGGACGAAGAACGTCAACATAACAGAATCTATTTGTTTAAATGGATGCACGGTTGAAAACTATAAAGCACGTATATCCCGCATGTTGTGTTAGCAGCGTAATCACTGCCCCTTCCCAAATGTACATAGTTTCGCTTTTTTATGCTATATTCTAGACCAAAAATACCCTATGTTTCCCCTCTACTATGGTTTTCTACCGGAATAAAGCACTTTTGAGGTCTAGAAAAACTGCTGAACGCACTAACGTTTCGCTCGTACTTCCACCAACAGTTTTTTTAGACCTCAAGCTTACGCTATATTTTCTTAGAGAACATGGAACATCTTCTTCTACTTAGTAACTATTACGATATAAGACTTACCTATAGTCGTAACAGCTTGTAACACGAAATCAAATGTATTAAAGAAAGACCACCGTGGTTTAGGTTCGCTTAAGGCCTCATAGGCGACACTGGAAAAGTTATTAAAATCCTCTACGGTCATGTTATATTTCAATGTCATAGAATGGTACAGAGAGCGTAACAATTCAACCTTTTCTTTTCTGTCATCTTTCTCCGTATCCTCCACTAAAACAAACACCCAAGTGCTAAGGAAGACCCAAAAAATAAAGCCAAAAGTGCGAAGAAGCGATGCTTTGATGAGGGGATCCATGTTGAAGCCTTCACACCTGCTGCAAATAAACTTGATAAAAACAATACTTCACAATTGGTCATTTTCTGTGAACCTTCAATGTAATCTGATGCATGACTTGTTACATCTACAGAAAAAATAATAACGTTTTAAAAGAGTTTGTTCGAAACTGATCAGTAAAATGATAGCACATTCTACCGAAACTACTTTATAGCGTATGGTAATTTCAGTGCAAGAAACAGTGCTTGTATTGTCTCAACCCTCCAGCAAGTGTCCAGTGTATATCAGCTCCTTGTCATGTCCGAACTCCTGAAGTCATCTATCTGCTGCATTATTTAACAAGCGATTTTCTGTATATAAGCTTGTAAAATTGCTGAAATCCTACAGTTAATCAGTTCTTGGATATTTAATAAAAACCAAACTAACCTGCTATAAGACCGCGCAGGAGCCTTGTTCTCATTACACATGCAGGTAATTGACGCACGAAACGGTACGACTGATGCTGACAGTACACGAAATATTTTTGACACGTCTATTTATAATTTATACAATAAATTGATTATATGCGTCACTCGAGCTCAAAGTACTAAAAATGCGAAAAACGTTTCTCTCATTTAAAATGATCATGCGTAACGGTACATTAACCTGACTTCCACTCACGCACCGCAAAAATATCACAATCTGCACTCTTCTCAGTGAAAAGTACTTGATAATAGGCCATATTTGTATTCTCGGTATGGGACTGGAACTAGCTTGCAATGGAGGCTCATGCGGGGAAATATCATTAAAAAGAGATAAACGTCATTTGCATTTGAAGACTCCCTCATTAGCCTCACTTGCAAGCTAGTGCCAGTCCAATACCGAGAATACAAATATGGTCTATTGCAAAGTCACTGTTTTCAGTTTTGCGGCCTGTGTACTTCATTAGATGTTCCGATTAATTATCATAATCGGATAATCTTCGAAAGCAGCAAAACTTGTAATGCTGTGTGGAAGGCATTTTGTCGCGGATAGAGAATTTCAAAAATTGGTACATGAGGAAGGTATACTGGGTGTGCTCTAGAGTACTATGATAGAAGCGGAATCTCAAAAATGCCTTTCAAAAGGCTGAACGTTCTTAAAGTCCAGTTTTCACATTTTCACTCTCTTAGAAGGCAATAACTTCAAGCAAGTCTTGAACACACGAAAATATGCTTCTGTCATGGCACACGGGAGGTTATGATTTATCGCTAGTTTGTATAATCCTTGAATTTGGTAGGTCCATCTATATGAAAACTTGTACACATAATTGTATTTTCTGAAGTTTTAACTCAAGAGCTCAAAAGAAGGGTGATCCACCTGTAAAACGGCAATCTTTTATGTATCATCTTCCAATATCCCTGATTGATTTTAGATAGCCTGCGAACAGACTCTCGGCGAGCGCTAACGAAGCCGCCCCGCCCCTTCGTTATCCGTATACACCATATTCGTATTTTCGGTATTGGATGGAGACTAGCTTGCAATGGAGGCTCATGGGGGGAATATCACATTTGAAAAGACTCCCCGCATTAGCCTCATTTGCAAGCTACTAGTTCCAGTCCAATACAGAGAATACGAATATCGCCGAAAACGAATATGGCCTCTTCTTCCGTCCTCGTCGGGAGCCTGTTCGCAGGCTAATTTTAGAAGAATCGATGCTTAAACTCAAGAGAATCAATGCTTTATAAGATGACACCTGCTCGAGAAATTTAGCTAATGAACTCATTGATGAGCAAGGGTTCTGTGCAACCTTAATAAAAGCAGGTGTCTGCTTGCATGGTAATTTCAGCGGATTGGAAAACATTTGCATTGTATCTTTTAACTCTTATCTCCTTCACCAAGCCTTATCCGAGCCGCTTAGTGGGGCTTGTCCTCGTAGCATCCAGTAAACTATTTACCGTATGCTAGTCAAAATGGCCGAAATCCTACGCCGAGATGAACTATTTATTAGCTATATTTCTAAGAACATGGAAAATATTCCACTGCAAAGACGCTACGACGAATAAATCAGGTGACCATCTTCATATAGTAATTTCAGTCAGTATATGCTTTTTTTTGCATCTTTCTAACTCCGTAGATTTTGATATTAAAATGAATCTTCGTATAATCATGATCAACCGTGATGTAACTTTATTAAGGTAGAGATACGAACTAAACTGAGGTTTCGGTGTATCAGTTAATTTCCAGGCATGCGACTATATCGTTAGCCTCTGTGAATTCCATTTTATCTGACTAAAATACCTTGTCTAGGTAACAGTCAAAAGCCTACCTCTTAGTTACTTTAATTATCTTTTTCCGTCTTTTCTCGCATAGCAGTTAGTATCGTGGATACGTTGGGCAGCTTTGTCCTCATGGAAGAAGCGAAGAGTAAGCGAAATAAAGTCCAATGTACGAATTTAACCGAAGTATTCTTACAAACCCTTTCAATCCGAAAATATCAGGAATGTTATGTCAACGACTACAAATTCATCTTCGCGTGAACCCAGGTAGAAGTTTTCAGAATGTAACCTTTGTAATTGCAATGTCAATTTCATTGGCCTTTATTATGACTAGGCCAATCATCGGCTATGACAAGAATAACCCACCCCGTTTGCATTGTGATTGAAATAATTATTTTGACCTTTTTATGAAGATAATAAATTATTCATCCCCTAAACACCGTGAAAAGAAACGCAACGTCAAGCAATCATGGATTTTTGATGTCTCTGTAATCAATTAAAGAAGAAATTTCTTTTGAAAGGACTTATGTTAAGTCTTAAAGTGTTTTAACATGCACATTTTAAAAAAAAATTCCGCCATAATACTTCTCGTATCTATATATTTGTGAGTTTTTCGGAATTAAGCAGGTGCAACACAAAGCAAATCAATTCAGTTTTGCTTCCCTAGCGACTAGCAGAGTCGTATTTTGTCGATTCATTTTGAAAACCGTTTTACGAGTCAAAATTGAGTATCCTCTCTTGCCCTACTGAAGCGTATAAGAGCCGCAGATGAGTGCAAATTAGATTTAATCATACTGAAAAAAAAAACCAGTTTCTTTGCTTTCAGTTGTTGCAAAATCGATGTCGCTGTCTTTTAATTGATACCATTAGGCTATACACTTGTTTAAAATTGAATTATTGATTTTGACTTTGTAATCCTAGTATGAGCTCGTTTTTTGCTAACTTTGCTGTGACTGTTACGAACGCCTTGATAGATACTGGAGATATAAGAGACCCAGTTGTTGAAGATTTGATGTGGAACATCTGAAATTTTGAACCATAACAGTGTAGCCAAAATCATTACTTCTGTACAACATGTTGTGGGGGTGGGGGGGNTGTGCCTACATGTAACTTTCGTAAATATGAAGAAGTTGAGTAGTTTATCACATGATATTTTTTTCTGGATTCTGATTATTATTATGGGTCTGTCATGAATAAAGCATTCAGAAGGCACGCTGAGAAAAGCTAGAGCAAATAAAATTAACTCTTTGGAACTGTCTATGCGAGCTCACATTTAAGTAGAGTTTGAATCATAGATAAAAAAAAAGGTGAAATTAACATCCTGTCTCGCCTTTAATTTCAAAACTTCAGACACAAAGAGTAGAGGTTTATTATCTATTGGATGCCGCTAGTTTGCCATTTTAGTCTAGACCCATTGCAGTATTCTTAAAGTCGCTCGTTCGCGCTCAGGCTTTGTGTTCTCTTTATATATACATCCGTTTGATCCAAAACAGACTGCCTAACGGCAACCTCCTAATGAACTCGCCCCGTCCCTAAAAATCAAAGCAAACTGTCAAAATACCAATAAATAGTGACTAAGAATAGTGTCTTGCGGAACCCCTACACACTTAACTGGGGGTATTTTCAAACAAAATTTGTGGCCTTTTGATTTGCTTGTAAACATTTTTGGAATTGCTCATGAACCTCACAATGACATTCTTTCAAAGTGTTTGATGGCATACACCTTTGAATTAATGAATAGCAATAGTTTCTTGAAGTGTACAAGCAGCAAAAGGTCAAAGATTGCCAGTTACTCTTGGGTCAAAAGTTTTGAATTGAGGCGTACTTGACGAACTCATGTCACAGCAGTGTTGCCAATTGTAATTTTGTACTAGCCAATCACAGGGCAGCAGATATTGTGGGCAGTCCAGCGTTTCAATCCTATTTCTCAAGCGTAAGTTATAGACCGGTTAAAACTTGTCAAAAATGAGTATTTTTAATTTATTCGTCCTTGGTTTGACTAGACGGCGGCAGAGTAAAATGATCGAGCGGTTGCTAAAAACGTTAATATTTCGAGCAGAGTAGCAGTACAGATCTAGATCTATTCACTTCAGTCATTTTGCGGTTTTAAAATTGGAAAGATATAAAAATTGACCTTTGAAATATATTTTTACAAGCTTGTTGTTATTATTTATCTTTCAAACAGTATAGGCGCTGTAAAGAATAAGCCTAGGGTCGTCTATGTAGATTTTGTGAGCGTTTTAATCAAAAATTAGACTATACTCGCCTTCGTGCTCTGTGCGCGAACAGTCAAAGAGGCGTTTAATTGTTTTAGCAAGAACTCTAAAGGATTACTAAAATCAGGAGTCAAGAGCAACGCGTGCGCGATCGTTGTCTATCAGCGATTGGTAGAATTCTACTAGTATACTAATGCAAATGCCGCAATCTGATTGACTGAGCCATTGCACACTATCAGGCATTAGCGTGCGGTGGCTGGAGGTCGTCTACGAAATAGCGACGTTTTTTTCGTTTTTCCAAAGTTTTGGAGGAAAAATTTGATGCAAATGGTGAGTAAATTCCTGAGAAGTCTAAACGAAGGACATTATTATTGAAAAAACTGATGTACACGGCACACAACTTCAATTTTAAATGACAATTCAATCCGAACGATCTTTTCAAGGCGCATATTTTAATAACATGTCGAGAAATACAATAATTGGAAACCGTTATTTGAAGTAAAGTTTAGTAATTCTACTAAAACAATTAGATTATTCGCTCTCGATTTCTGAGGTGATAGTTTTCCATCAGAGGTAGTCACCTCATAGAAATCTCGAGCTCACAACCTGATTGTTTATGATACAATAACTCGAATTATTCGCGCATTGTGAATGGTTCTTACTAATACTTACGATCTATTGGAAGACTGGGGTAGATGACGTCATTAAAATGTTTCATTTAAGTAGATTGCATGTTGCCGTGCGTCTGTTCAGTATTAGTATAAATCTACTGGCGTTCTATCTTGAATGCCGTTCTCTGATTGGCTACGCTACTCACCATGTATTCTGTGATAGATAGTGGGTAGCATGGCAGTGTGCCCTTCTTAACAAAATGACGGCCGCTTCTTGGCGTTTTCGAAGTGTCTGTGAAGAGGATTTTGATAAAGTTCTGAACGACTAGTAGACTTATACTAAAACAATTAGATTATCCGCTCTTGATTTCTATGCGTGGTAGTTGACGAGGGCTCAACTAGTACGCATAGAAATCGAGAGCGAATATTCTAATTGTTGTGTTTGTGCTACTTTTTGAAAGCTCTTGTGCTACTTTTTTGTTCTTACCGCATTTTGGCATAATCTGTGACCTTTTAATGAACAGACGCACGGCAACGTGGAATCTATTTGTTAAACAGAAAACGCCGGGCAAGAGAACGAATCGGATTCGCTGACTTCCAATAACACACAGCTGAGCGGCTACTAATGACGCTTAGATTCAAATTTAAAGGCAAAAGAAAGCAAGATGATGACACTGATAATACTCTAAAGACTGAACCTAAGTCTGAAGATGTTCCACACACATCTCATGCTGTTCTGGAATGTCATTTTGTTCACTGTTCACATGGTCTTGGAGGTTTCGATTACAACATCCAAGACACCGGGGACGACATCTCCCGGCCTCCTCAATGCACGCCATGATGGAGTTGAGTACACTTGAGACAATGCATAATCCAAATAAACAGTTTAACATTTTGAGTATATTGTAGATATGCACGTCAACTGATTCATCTTTGTTTTCTTGATGTAAGGAAATGTTAAAAGTTAATTTGTTGTAGCTCGGGACGTCGATATCGCTGATAACGTAGTCACCAAATCCAATTGTAGTAAATGTTATAAACCAGAAATACAGTCCTTCGATGAAAGTCCAGCCCAGAAGATGGGTCACGAAAAAAGCACATTCCACCATTAACACAGCCATTAAGGCAACCGAAATCATAGCACTCTTTGTTTGAACTCGTTTTGGCTCTGGTCTTTTAAGGATTTTCTTTTCAAACTTCGTGACCATTACGTTAAGCCGTCTGGCAGTGAGTTCGCCGATGGATTTTAACGTGAGCAAAGCAATGGGAATGCCGAGTAGCGAAATGAAGACACATAATATCTGCCCGGCTGGTGTCTGAGGAGTGATGTTTCCATAACCTACAAACAAACAAACAAACAGAGATTTTAACATCATGCTCGGATGTAAAGAAATTCTGAATTATTCTGAGACTTTAAGGGGCTAGGTCACGGTATTGTAAATAATTATGTTTATTTCCTGAAGTTTTGAGTTCTTCAAATTGGCAGAGCTACAGTTTTAAATCTGAGCATTATAGAAATGGCACTTTCAGTAGATTTTTGAGATAAGCTTTTGAAGTAATGCCGTTTTTCAAGTTTGTCCAACAGGGATCTATTTTAATCTTCCCAAATTTTGTCCATCCGTGCACCTTCTTAACTTTTCTGTATTTCTTTTGAGTTTTTTTTTAGTCTTAAGCCGTTCTACTGTGCTTCTTAAAGTCAGCAAAAGAAGTAACTTGAATAGAGAAAACAATTCTCTATGCGCTTATCCTCCTGTTCCTAGATAACAGTTTGGGTGAAAATGTTTCTTTTATCCTGTTTTTAGCGGATAGCGGTAAAAGCAAAGCAAACTCGAGTTACATGTAGTTATGGCGAGCTCCTAAATAACGAGAAGAAAGAACGTAATTGTTTAAGAACCGAAAAAAACGAAAAAAAGAGCAAACATCAACTGTCTATTTTTTCTTATTCTTGGCAGTTTTTAATGATTTTACGATAGTCTTTCGCGTTTACGCAACACACGCCAGTTGGATGTTATTCGTGTTTTTCGTCCTGATTAAACGTAAGGCGACAACGTGAAGCAATTCGTAACTCAGGCAAAGGTTAAATAATCATTCATCTAGAAAAGTCTGTGCAAGAATTTAGCATACGTTTATTCTTGTTTTCTCTTACCGATAGTAGTTACTACGCTAATGACAAACTCGAATGCGGCTAAATAGGTCCACCGTGGTTTAGGGTTGCTCAGGGCTTCATTGGCCGTATTGGAAAAGTTGTTGAACTCCTCGATGGTCATGTTGTATTTAGATGCCATTGACGTATACAGTGAGTGCAATAACTGATATTTTTCTTTTCTGGTGTCTTCGCTTTCATGTTCCACTAGGACAAACAACCAAGCGCCAAGAGAGGTCAGTAAAAAGAAAACTAGAGTGCGAAGGAGAGCTGTTTTGAGTAACGGGTCCATCGAAGTCATTACACCCACACCAGTACCACTGAGCTATGCTTCGCCACTTCCTGATAGTTCTCTATGAGAGCTAGATCGAAAGAAAGTTATAACCTGAAATTGAAATGACTTGCAGATAAGTATTATTTAACAAACATGTCTTGATCGATGCCAGGAAATAGAGTATTTTCACATGACGTCAGGGCAGCCATATTGGTGTCTCAAGACAACGAATGTTGGTGTCCAAAACCAATCCTGTGGGAATTGAACTCTTTTCTTATATGTAAACACTTTCTTTTGTTCCAATAAATTTGCATGGCCGCTGGCCACGTGAGTGAAAACGCTCTATAAGAGAGTCTATTACAAAGTAAACTTCCTTTCGTCAGTGACAAGTTTAGGTGATGACATACTGCACACTCTACTCACTCACTCATCCTTATCGTCCCGGCTGGGATATAAGGTCCTGGATCTAGCTTAAATCTGTTGATTTAGCACTACACGTTGTTAGCCTTTTCTATTTTCCTCAACTAACGCATAGCGATAAATTAGGTTTGCAATTCCCGACGATGTTGCAAATTGTGCCCAAAATGCAGAAATCGATCATTCAATATTGTGTATGCCTCTCGTAGCTTCTCTTCTGTTTGTTGTTGCCTGTTTAGCCCAATTCTCTCTCTCAAACGCAGTTGCAGTTCACCATATTAATGTATTTTGGTGAGATTGCGTTCCCACGGGGAGTTAGGAGGAGAATTGTTACGAGGCATCAGTAAATCCTGAATTTGGTTCGACTCTGACACGACATCTGAATCAGAGTTGTTTTCCTGTCGTGCTACAGTCGAACCAAATTGCAATTAAGTTCGGCACGGCAGAAGCACGACGTCTGAACTGGGCCTAACGTTGTGATGGAAATACACAAATATACTGGAAAAACGCATACAAAAAGGGACTGAAACAAAACGAAATTATGCGAAAAAAACCTAACAGAATGTTGATTACGTGAAAATGAGATAAACGAATAGAATGCGATGACAACAGAAAGAATGTGCGCACAAACGGAAAAAATAACAAAAGAATTGAATGCGGTGGCAACAGTATTACTCCAATGCGCATGCGAAAACATGCAGAGTGAGGTCCAAATCAAGAGTAAATAAAGAAGGATGCGAACCCGTTTCTAGTTTTGTGACCAAAAAATTAATTATTAGTAACTCTTAGTCAACGCTGCTTAGTTCATACGCTTTTCAACTTTAAGCAATTGCCAGAAATTTCCTTTGCACTATAAATATTCCTTTTTGAGGATATGATCGGACTTGGGATTGATTAATATTTTTTATAATTAAGAACAATTCAATCACTAAGCTGGTTTGAAATAATTCATCACCTGTTTTAGCATCACTGTTGAATATTATTTGTTTAGTTTAGCTATAACTGATTGATTACTGACCGTACAGTCCGTACTTGAAAGATTGAAAGGTCCGTGGGAGTTTCACTCTTTTGACAGGAAATTGAAAATTTTCCATCAAAAAGTTTCTTTACCTATTTGTAAATAAAAGGGAAACCTTTCTCCGATAGAGAACTACTTATCTCTTAGCAAGCTTTAAAAATGTTTGAATTTTTTTTCGAGAGTAGTCAAATGTCAAGTTTTATTTGAATTGCGTACAAAAGAATATACTATTGCTTTTTTTTACCGGAGCTAGGGTAGCTTACAGTGGAAGTCCGAACTACTTATCAATGTTTACGTTATCTGTTGAGAGGGAAATAAAGAAAGATGCAGTATGGAGTGGAAGACTGGGTACGGCGGTGATGTTTTCCCAGGTCCAGCATGTATTCCTTAGCGTGTACTGAATCAATCTAATCTATTTTTTCATGCTAACAAAGGTGATCTCCGTTTCATGCTGCTCATATATTGTTATTTCCCACGTTCTTTTGAGCTTTCCGCGTTTTTATTTTACAATTCCACGTCTGTCATCCTTGAAGGTGCCACGAAAGCTAAACGTCTCTGGGGATTGCTTGGTTCTTCCATGCCGTCGACGTCCGCGTGGTCCTGGGTTTTTGGAGAAATACATCCAAGACATCGGGGGCGACACTTGTGTTCTTCGAGGGCCTCCACGATGGAGTTTAATACACTGGAAACAAGGCATAATCCTATAATATTATGACACACATATCCCATGATGAAAAAAATCGTTAAAGCACTCTTATGACTGTGGAGAATCCCTTCTTCATTTTCTTGAATTGCAGTGCCATTTATAAATAATTGCGTGATTCTTTGGTGAGATTTGTGATGAATGTAATCACCAAAACCGATTGTAGAAAATGTTATAAACCAGAAGTACATTTCTTCTACGAAGGTCCAGTTGGAGAGACTTAAATGTAACCGGGCGGTTACCAGCACAAATATTAGCATTAACAAGAACAAGATCACAGCACTCTTGGTTTTAATTTTTTGGGGTTCCAAACTGTTAAGAATTTTCTTCTCCAATTTCGTCACGGTTGTGTAGACCAATTTAGAAATAAGTTCGCCGATGGATTTGAACGCGAGCAATGTAATGGGTATCCCGAGTAAAGAGACGAAGATACACAATATCTGTCCTGAGGGTGTTTGAGGAGTGATGTATCCATAACCTGCGATAGAAAGGTGAACAAAAACAAAATGTTGACACAGAAAAAGAGAATATGTGGTGCAAAATTCGTTGTAGGATTTCCCTGGGTTAGAACAGTCCTTTAGATGGTGCAACACTTATCGACTAAGGATATTAAGCTGTTAAGCCCATTTTGAAGGAGACAGATCAAAGGAGACTGCCAAGTTCTTGCACTAATCTCAGTTTTTTCCCACCAATATATCAGACGACAATACCCAAAGCAAACATGATCCGTTAAGCCACTAACCAAAAACCTAAGTGCTTTTTTTGACAGAGAGGCTGGAAATAGTATCAGTTATGGCAGGGATTTGCAGTGAAACGATAAATTGTACTGAAATGCCATCAACATTGTGAAATAAATTTGGTTTACGTGGGTCATGCTTTATTCGATATGTTTCCCTTACCAACTGTAGTCAGAGCTTGCAAGACGAAATCTGTTGCGTGATAATAGGTCCACTGCAGTGTAGGCTCGCTCAAGGCTTCGTGTGCCACATTGGTAAAGTTATTGAACTCCTCGATTGTAATGTTGCATTTAGATGACATGGACTTATACAGAAGGTGTAACATCTTGTATTTTTCTTTAGCATCGTCTTTTTCTGTGTACTCCACGTGAATAAACAACAAAGGACTGAGTAAGGTCACGACTAAGAAGGCAATGGTCCGAAGAAGAGTGATTTTGAAGAGAGGATCCATCTTGGAGGTTTCACACCTGCTGTTGCTAAGGTGAGTTAATTCCTTTAAATGAGGAAAAATGATGTGTCTGCTAAATGCAAACACTGGGTCACTTTTACGACGCTTTCGGAAAAAAAATATTTCAAACTGCTAGTCAGTGAACAATTTTTGAAACTACAATAAGACACCGTCCTTGTTGGTCAGTGTGAAAAGTATTTCAATCAGGACATTACATCTTGCATCATCTAACGAATATCGTATTATACAAGAAAATTGAACATTTAAATAAAGTGCCTAGTGTAAACTGTTTACTCTGAACGCCTCGCCATCTGTCTTACTACTGTTCACCTTATTGTTTCACAGTTTTTGTTTCACATACCTCAATGTCTTAAATGTCAAGTCATTTCGCCGCAGGGTTCCCAACAAGCAGGAATAAAGACCTGTGTGGACACCTGATAAATGTGTAATTGAATTTAGTTTTTCACTACTTTGGCATCGTAAAATTCAGTTATCGAATCACTGTTACTGGGTTTGGATTTGAAAATAATTTTCATCATCCAACTGAAGTGCACGCCATCGCCTTCCCACCCATAACATAGTAAATCCGCACCTTTATTATGCTGAAACAACAATAGTTAGTCGTATTAAAAAAAAAAACTTTGCGCTTGTTTTGTTCCCAGCAGCGGCAAGTTTAATTAATTTAGTCCCACTGCACCGCCAGAGTACAAAATATAAGATAAACTTTGTGCCTGAAGTAATTGATTTCATTATCGAGAAGTCGGTATGGGGAAAGGAAAATTGATTTCTAATGCATCATAAATTTTTAATGTCTCAATCTGACTAACGGTACTGTAGAGCTTAATTTGTAAGCACTAACTTGGATATACCTCATCCAAAAAGTACTACAACATTAAAGGACAGATTTATTGGCTAGAATCTTGACTAATAACATTGGTCCTCTTTGCTGAGCCAGACTTAAACGAAGTATAACAAAGGCTAGAAATGCAAGAGTTAAATGAAATATAATTGGATTAAAAATACACATTTAAATATAGAACTAGTTGCGTCTTTAAGCATAATTCTTGTGATCGTTATAAATGTTCTACCACGAGTGCTCGCTAATTAAACACGAGAAGCAATTTCGGTGGTACTGCGAAAGAACATACAACCTTTCCTTTATCTCGCTCTCGGTTGGGAAAAGCACACATCTTTCTTTCACAAAACAAACAAATGTTGGCCCTAGCCTACGTCACAAACAGATTACACCACCGGGATCTAACTCACCAACTTTGGCATGTTTCGTATGGTGATCCTGGTTCGTAGATTGTAGAGGCTCTTTTTTTCGCTACGTCTATGAATGTATGTCAGTGAGAAATATCTTTGCAAACAGCAACTGAAAATGTAGTTTTTGCTAATCAGTTTCTAGCGACCGATCGCTATCATTTAATTATCGTGGTTGCATATAAAAAATTCATGTCCTTAAATTCTAAAACAATCGACTTCAAAGCACTCAAGAAAAAAAAGAAAGTCATACTGCTACAGAATTAATGCGAGAAACAAAAGACAATTCGGACATTACTTTATTTCTTTTTAAATTTTTGGTTTTCGTGCCAAAGGGTTTTGATGTTCTTACAACCTCTTCAATGTGCTTTTTCGATCAAATAAAATTGAGGAAAATTTTGACTGTGAAATAGGCGAGTTGATATCAATAGTTGTGTAAGGGATGTGACTTTGTGATATGTGAAGCATTGTTTGTAGAGAGATTTTCAGAACAGCTAAACGAGTTTTCATAAAACTAATTTGTAGATTTAGCCAAGCCTAAAAGCGGAGCTTCTGGGCCGCTTTGTTCAAAACCCGATCAAGCTAACCCAGGCTAAGCGAGAATTTTGATTTGGTTTTCGTAACTTTGTGGTGAGGTTTTCTGTTTATATTTTTGGCCTTCTGTTTTGATTTTGAATAATCTCAAACTACACCAGGAGCCCTTACCCTTGTTTTGGCAGGTGTCAATTGACCATAACATGGATGTCAAATATCAAAGACGTACGCTGGTATTAGCTGGAGTATGGGCGCCATGTTGCGCGAAGTCGTTGTCGCTGGGTGCACGCGCCCGCGATCCATGCCGCTAGCCATGTCGACCATGAAAAAAGAGTTGCATGGGTTCTTTTTTCTGTGCATGCAAGTGGTTCTGTTCCTATAGTTATGGTGCTCCGTTTGGCGGCCCTTCGGGCCGCCGTAGCTCCGCTAAAATTGGAAAATGAATCCAAAGACATAACAATACTATATATGGGTATTAGCTTTTAAATATAAACAACAAGGTATCTTTTCTTTATTTCTCTTATACATTTTAAATGATCATACGGACCACTACTTATGCTCTGTTTTCATTGCTTTTTGGGCTTAGCTTGATGTGGTGTTTGGCAGTTAATATATCAAACACGAAAGACCGTGTTTGACCACATTCCAAACACCGAGATGAAAGTTGAAAATACGACCCGCAGCGGAGTATTTTTGATGAACTTCGAGGTGTTTTGTAATGTGGTCAAACACTGTCTTTAGTGTTTGATATATATCTTCTCAATCAAACTAAAACTAAGGAGAGATCGGTGGAATAAAATCGTGAAAATCTCTGCTAATTAAGATCAGCTATCCAAACACCGCCACGGTCATGATTTCCTTTGTTTAAACTTGATGAATTATTGACGAGTTTGAGAATCTTTCGTTAAGCCATGCCCCAGAAAAGTTGAAAAAATTAGATCTTACTATTCTTTTAAGGAATTTTAATACGTTCAGCTTTAAGTTAACAAATATTTAGTGTATGAATATTCGAATAGACTCCCTTTACATCACCAACATCACTGCAACTTTCATACACTGGTTTCAAAGACTTATTATCTTTGCGTTATTATCTTTATCTTTGCTGGTATCTTTACTTCTCATTTAAGATCACTCACAGAGTTGATGACTCTATGCATTCCTTCTGACTTTGGACATTATCCATATGCATTCTGAAAAGTGTTAGGACAGCTCGTTCACAAACCTTTGTCCTTGCGGGAGGGGAGGTAGGAAAATTGACATAGACGTTAGTGCCATCGTTTCCTTCCGTTTTTTTTTCCATGAGTGCTGTCATTTAAGTTCAGTTACTGAGAGTGACACGTTGTTGTCCTTCTGGAATCCATAATGTTCCATGTTTAAATGCGTCATGGTAGTTGCACGTTGCTCTGGAGCCGCGTCGGAATATTGCGAGTCATTATCTTCGTGTTCACGGATTCTCCGAGGAACGCATCCGGGACACCGCGGGCGACATTTCCGTTCTTCGATGGCTGCCATGATGGCGTTTAGTACACTCGACACAATGCACAGGGCTATTAAACAGTAGATCGCACCAAAAAGACCTGCGAAATAAACATAAGTTGTCTTCCTTGCGTTACCAGACTCATTCTTGTTCTGATTTACGGAGATGTTTAGAGTTAATTCTTTGATCCGATGCGGCTGCCGGAGAACATAGTCACCAAAGCCGATCGTAGAATAGGTTATAAACCAGTAATACACAGCTTCAATTAGAGACCAGTTTAGACGATGCATCACTAACAGACCATTTATAACAATTAATAACACCATAATTGCACATAACATCACAGCACTCTTGGCGTTCGTGTGTTTTGGTTCCGATATCTTGAAAATTCTCTTTTCGAACTTTGTGATAATTCTGTTAATGTATTTTGCAATGAGTTCACCGACAGATTTCAACGCGATCATCGTGATGGGAATGCCAACTAAGGAGACGCAAATGCATAATGTTTGGCCAGTAGGTGTTTGAGGAGTGATCCATCCATAACCTACAGAAAACAAATAAATAAGAGAAAATATACCAGAGAAGAGGCTGATGAACTAAATGAAATGTATTGCCTTGAGTGGAGATTTGAAAAAAAAAAACCATTTATTTATTCATTAGTTATACACGAAAAATCATAAGTTACAAGCACGCTAAAAACCTATTATATAAAAACACTGAAATAAGTTTCAAAAATCATCCGGGTTACATCATTGTCGTATAGTAGCCTAAAGAAAAAAGTGAGGAGTTGATATTCTTTTGGAAAACTCCCGGTGAGTTACATTATGTAAGATCCTGAGGCAGACAATTCCATAAGGCGGCGCCACTACAGGAGCTGGGCTTTAAGTACTCTGTTCTAGACTTATATGGGATAAGTTTGTTCATCGAGTAGCAGGTAGGAGGTAAATAATTGGCAGAAACTACAGTGTAAGCTAAACTAAGGGGCTACTTTTTCGAGTTCCAAGTGAATACTCTTAGATATTTTTATTTAAGCAGCTTTATTTCAAGGAGACCATAAAAACAAAAAGGCCAAATCTTCGTTTGCATCATTCTCATAGTTCTTAATGGTTCATTTTCAAAAGACTGCAAGAATCATCCTGTGCAAATTGTTTCCCAAGCCAGGTATATGATAACAAGCTAGCACGTGGGAGTCATCAAATTTTTTTAAGTAAAGTTTAATAGGTTATTTGGTATTTTTCCTCTGCTTACCAATTGTAGTTAAAGCATGAAGAACGAAAATAGCTGCACTATTATAGGTCCATTGTGGTTTAGGTTCGCTCAATGCCTCATATGCTATGTTGGAAATGTTATTAAATTCTTCGAGGCTCATGTTATATTTAGATGCCAGGAACTGGTAGAGGGAACACAGTGACTGATATTTTTCTTGCCTATCATCTTTTTCTGTGTACTCCACTAAAACAAATAACCAGGCACTGAACGAGGCCCATAGCAAGAAGCCAAGAGTCCGGAGAATTGATGCTTTGAGAAGCGGTTCCATCTTCAAGTCTTAAAACCTTCATCAGCTGAACAAAAAAGGAAACAATCCTAACATGTCATGTAATCTTCACCTCGTGAATTCCGAACAAAATACAGAAAGCTGAGATAATGAGGCTGGTGGCATTATTATTATTATTATTATTATTATTATTATTATTATTTGCAAATAAAGGTGTCAAGAAGATGTCATTTTGCTATCTCCTCAGGTTTTTAATCCATGAAGGACAGTTTTTTGTCCAGACTTCAGTCTCCAATCATTTCTAGTTGCCGTGGTAAAATCAGTCCGTTGACGCATACGCTCCGTACTTATTATAAAAGTGTTTTTAAATAAGTATATTTATAGCCTCTGTTATGAGATACACTGCTCCGTTGGCTGACAGAAACCTTTTTATACACTTGTTCAGTCTATATACTCACTCGTTTACCAGAGCTCCCAAGATAAGTCATGAAATTTCGGGGTAAATTATTTGTAGTTCATTTTCCCACTCAAGAATCGAACATATTAGTAATTTCCAGGCGACGTAAACGGATGGTTTGATTATGATTTCAGACATATCAACCAGCTGCCCATCAAATAAGCAGCACATTTATTGGGTTCTCAAGTAGCTGAAAGCTCTGAGCACCTGCTAATTGAGCATGGTTGTATTTGAAAGGGTTTGTGTCAACACGTTCAATAATAAAGCTTATATTAAACTTTCAAATTTCAGTCACATAAGCTTCAGAGAGAGGTCATTGATGGTTTGTTCTTGAGTGGGAAAGTGAACTACAAATAACTTTAAAGGACAACGAACGCAAACTTGTCCCTTTACTTATGTTTAATAGGCCTTCAGAAATAAGCCAAGTTAGCATTGACAGAAACACACGCGCCCATCTTAAAAGACGGATCTATAAATAAGATAAAGTATATGCCTTTATTTTAAAATGTCAAGTAGGATTATTTCTCAAGTGTTATTTGGAAGCTACTGAAGGTTTTGTTTAGTTTTTGTTTTTCGCGAATACCATTTTATTTCCTAAATTGCGATGTAAAATTTCAATATCCCCCCTCTTTCTATGTAAACACTGATTTTTCTTTAACCTTATACGTCCTTGCTCCTTTCGATATTGTCAAATTCATTTCAATTCCAGTCAGATAATTTATTCTAAAATAGTATTTTGCCAGTGTTTATATACACAGGACTGGCTTGTAGGCTTAATGTGACAATCACATTCAAAACACTTTTGATATCATGTCCTATTTAGAGTCTATTTAATGCACTGACCTTTATTCAAGGTGAAGTCTTAACAGGAACCATCAATTTCTTGCCGTCATCCTTGAAACGTCAAATCTCTATAATCACAGCCAGCTAAAAACGTCTGTGCATGATCACAGCATTTAGCATAGCTCTTGACAACGCTGTTTATTTTCTCGCTGTCTGGGTATTAACAGCTATCTTCTAATAAACTTTTTTATGCCTTGAAGGTATGCAAATTGGCAAAGAACCAATCATCATTGAGTGTGTAGTGATGGCTTGTGAAACCCCGCTGGAAAAATGCATAATGACTTTCTCAGACAGATTAAACTTATTTTAGTTTAGCCGGGAACTATGAAAGAGAGGTATAATTTGTTGGCGAAATGTCTGAAAACAAATATCTCGAATGTGCCTATACAGCTGCTACGTAATGAGTTTTTAACAGTACCCCTACCGCTACGTGCCAAATTAATAGAATCTTTTAAAATAGAATATTCACTTGCATTCAAGCTCAGTCACCAGGAAACGTTTAATGAGCAGGTCAGATGCTATTGCTAATGATGATACTGAGGCAAGAGACCATTTCTCTTGACTGAGGTCGTTTACCCCGTACTCCAACATAGAAAATGAATACAAAAATGATTTCCCGGTGCGAAAATAGGTTTTTCAATCCCGCATCCCGAGACTCTTTAGCTCAATCCCGCCATCCCGCCCTACTCAGAATGTATTTGATCCCAATCCTGCCTGGTTAGAGTAGCAGTTCTCTGACTAACGTTCGTAAAGTGTGATTTTCGGTTTTTCTTCCCGCATCCCACCGTCAATTTCAAAACTATCCCGCATCCCGCCTGTCAATATGGGCAAATCCCGCTCCCGCCCAAGTGTTCTTATCCCGCATCCCGCCACCCGATGTTGGACCCTCAAAGAAGTTAAAACCAAGTTACCCTGTTGTTACATGATGCTACTGGTGTCTTAAACTATTAAAAATAATTTTATCAATACAAAATGGCATTACGGTATAAATTTCTTCGGTTGTTGTTCAAAACTTTATTTTCACCCATTTCTACGACTTTTTATTTTTTTCGGTGAGTTTGGCACCTCTTTACACGATCCAGGTTGATTCTTAGCCCGGACTGAATCACCGTTTAGAGTTCTAAAAATATAGACTTGCTTCGAGCCTGGCTCGGGTGAACCTTTCTACCTACCAAAACGCGAAGGACTGACATGGGCTAGAAAGATGGCAAACAAGCATCATTCTTTGTCTTTGTACAATGCGCACCATGTCACGGGTTATTGTTACTTCTCTATCGGTATTATCTATCTAAAAGCGATACATTTACAGTTTCGAAAGCATCACTACGGAAACCCCTCTACGGAGTCTGCATAATAAATGTCTTAGTATTAGTTTTCTAACTCTACACTGATGGATTTGTTCCAGCCTACATAAAGTTCTTTAAAATTAAAGCGCGTGCACAATTACACATTATCAGGTCTTCTTACGGCAGAAAAGCAGATGCTTCGTACACCGAGAATATGCTGAATTGCCTTTATTACATATTTTTTGTAACTGTTTCTCCTTCATCTGTATAATGCACATGAAAATTTTAAAAAAAGGCCAACATTTTAACGTCCTGATATGGGCAGAAGCAAGGTAAAACTAGCAGAACAGTCATCCAAACACAACCTTCTTCAGGACTGACTGAAGTGGATTTACTAGACATGGCCTTGTGGACCGATTCCGGATTTAGTTGTTTCTCAGCACTGGATCCGGCCTGGATTTGGCGGTCGCTTGATTTACATTGCTTGGAAAGATCGGTTTCATATTTCAGTTTCCGCTACTCGATCATACGCGGGAAATGATTTCTTTTGGGTATGATGTTGGTCTTCTACATGGGTGGTATGCTTCTGTCTATTGTTCTTCTGGCGTGTCAGGTAAACAGTTAGAAATGACCTTCTAGGAGGCAAATAGCTACATTATTAGTCAGTATAGCATAGATGCTATACTTTGAGCATTTGAATTATTTTATCTGCACATTTTTGGCTATCGTCTTTTACTTGTTCACTTTTGCAGAATCAAACTTCGCGTTGTTGTGTATAAACCTTTCTTATCCGCGAGTGCTCTCACTTAAGTTCAGTTACTGAGAGTGATATCATGCTATCCTTCTGGAGTCCATAATTTTCCATGCATAAATAAGTGGGGTTAGTTTCACGCTGCTTTGGAGCGTCAGAATATGGAACATCATTGTCTCCTGTGTCCTGGGTTTTTCGAGGAACGCATCCGGGACATCGCGGGCGACATCTCCTTTCTTCTATAACAGCCATGATGGCGTTTAATACACTCGAGACAATGCACAAAGTAAATATAGTGTAAAACGTAAAGAAAAGTTCAACGAAAATCTCAAGCGCGGTTTGTTCCTCGTTGAGTGATTCATGGCTTTCTTGATATACAGAGCTATTTAAGGACAACTTAGTGCTCCTTTGCTGGGGTTTCTCAACAACGTAGTCACCAAAACCGATTGTTGTAAATGTTATGAAGCAGTAATAAACTCTCTCCACGAGTGTCCAGTCTGTGTGATACATTAGCAACACACTATTTAAGGCAATTAAGGATATCATTGTCGAAAACAAGATCACAGCACCCTTAGTTTTCATGTGCTTCGGTTCCAACCTCTTGAGGATTTTCTTTTCGAACTTGGAGACAATTGTGTTCACCCATTTGGCAATGAGTTCGCCGATAGATTTAAACGCGAGCAGTGTGATGGGGATACCAAGCAAAGAGACAAAAATGCACAATATCTGGCCAGTAGGTGTTTGAGGAGTGATCCATCCATAACCTGGATAGAAAAAAAATACAAACAAAATAAAGATGAAATGATTTGATGGGACATCGTTTTTTGCACTGGCTGAAGAGTATGATGAAGGAAATAAGATGCCGAGATATTTTCAAGTTGGCTGGCAACAGTATCCAGTACTTTCAAGTAGTTATACTTTGACGAGTCATTACTAACACAGTTATTAAGCGATCCTGCAATATTGGCATCAGGCAAATACCCACTGTTGGTCATTTTGCGGTCATCTTCATGGCATAATAGATCATAATAGCAACGATACAACCTGTTAAAAACACCCTTAACTTAGGCTTTAAAAGCTTATTTTTTAAAAACGGCTTAGCCTGCGAACAGGCTCCCGGCAAGCGCAATCTTCACTTTTTGTGCTCTTCCTCTCGCTTTGCCTGCCGAATGCGTTCTTTCCGTCCTCGCCAGGAGCCTGTTCACAGGCTAAAAGCGGCTCGGTGAAACTCATTTTTTATTAAGGAATGGTCATAAGCATGTTAAGATACAACTTTTTCCAAAGTTTTAGAAATAATCTGTAGGAATAATCTGTAGATGGGCAAAATTGAACTTGCACTAATTCATAAGACTTACATCTGTTGTTTTTGTTTGCTTACTTCCAACCATAAGACTGTTTCAGTATGGTGAACTGTCATCAACAGCTGTTTGCCGATGCCGCTAAACGTACTAAAAGCTTCGTCCTGTAAAGGATTTCTCAAGTTGCGATATTTTACCTTTCTTTTTTGTATATTAATGTATTCATCTGTTTTAGATAATTTCTTTCCTTACCAATTGTAGTTAAAGCTTGCCAGACGAAATTGACCGCAATATCATAGGTCCATTGTGGTTTAGGTTCGCTCAATGCCTCATATGCTATGCTGGAAATGTTATTAAATTCCTCGAGGCTCATGTTATATTTAGATGCCAGGAACTGGTAGAGGGAATATAGTAACTGATACTTTTCTTGCCTATCATCTTTTTCGGTGTACTCTACTATAACAAATAACCAGGCACTGAGCAAGGCCCACAGCAAGAAGCCAAGAGTCCGGAGAATCGCTGTTTTGATAAGCGGGTCCATCTTCAGGTCCGTTTACACCTTCATCAGCTGAACAGAAAAAAGGAAACAATCCTAACATGTTATGCGATCTTTACTTCGTAAATTCCTAACAAAATACAGAAAGCTGCATTTAAAGAGAATTTTGAATATTTGATAATGAGGCAATGAGGCAGGTGGCACTATTTCTTTTTCTTGCAAAATAAAGGCGTCAAGAGGATATCATTTTGCTGTCTCCTCAGCTTTTTAATCCGTGGATGACAGACTTCAGTCTCCAATCACTTCTAGTTGCCTTGGTAAAATCAGTCCGTTGACGCGTATGCTCCGCACTTAGAAGCCAAGACTACGGAGAACTGCTGTTTTGAGAAGCGGGTCCATCTTCAGGTCTTCACTGAACAAAACTGAAAAATAATTCTTTAATGATGGATGAATGTGCTTAGCTACACCTAGTTGGTTCTAGAAACAAATATTTCAAATAAACAGGATAAACATAATAGGCTTTTTAAAAAATCCTAAACTGGTGCCGTGCGCGGGGAGACAGACCAGTTGGCTAAGAGACAAGTAACCGAGGAGTTGAACGATGTCTACCGAGAAGCAAATGTAACTTAGTGGTCAGAGTGGAACTTGAACACGCGACATCTGAATTTCAAGTCCGGCGCCCTAACCACTCCGATAAGCTGTCTCTACTAAACAGAAAAAAAAGACGAAAATATCCCTAACGTTTTATTTGATTTTTCCGCATGAGTCTAAAGAAATATACTAAAATCTGCATTTATATTATATCAGCATGTTGATTAAGAAAACATGAGTTTAGCGTGGTAGTTAACGGTTACAGACTAATAAGCCGGAACACACAATGGACTCCAAGAATCAACTTGCTTGAATTAGGTATCATTCTTTTGCATACTAATGATTTTTTCATTATTTAACTTATTTGGGACAGTCATGTAAAATACTCGTAAATCAATTTATGGAAGTAAGTCATGTGATTAAAATTTCATGACAGAAACAAATGACACGAACTTCAAATGAAGGTCTATGAATGATTTGAATTAAATACATAAACCATTTCCAATATTACCACATTTTTGACAAAATTTTTAACTCATCGATAACCAGCCTTTACACTGAAATAAAAGTCGAGTTATGTTTTACATGTTCCGAAGTAAATGGAGCTTGCATGATAACTGCATGAAAACGTGAACGTTTGCCACAGGAATATCGCGTAAAGGCTTTGAAAATGAATTGCCTTTAAAAAACGTGCCTGCAGTTAGTATGCACATGAAATGGATAATATATCTACATCTTTATTGTAAAGTAAACAAAAAACACCTTGGAAGAAAAGGCGCGCTAAGAGCTATTCCAAAGCTGTACCAGACCTTCTATAAAACTCGGAAGAAACACAGAAATAGCGCGCACGCGAGCTGTTGACGCAATGATGGCGAGAGCAAGCCTGAGAATTAACAAAAAAGAAGAGGGTCTATTATAGGGGGTCGTACATTTCTTAACCACCATATTTTTCTCATTGGAAACCGCAGGGTGCTTTCGTTCCTCTTAAAAAAACTGAAACCGCCCTATTGGGACGATTATCATCATGACCGATATTTTAACAGTACGTAACAAATTCATTACGATATGTTAGCTCAATAATCGTTTTCTCCTCCATTCAGTAACCAGCGAACAAAACGTTTTGACGTCTAATGGGCTGTTCACAAAAACACAAACATTGCTCGACATGTTTGAATGACTGCCACAAAAACACGCGAAAAACCGAAAACAGCGAGCAAAGTTTATGATTTTCCGCAACCACGCGATAATTTCTTAACCGTAAACTGCGAGTTAAATGTGACTGTACCTAAAAACCGGCACTCGAAATTGGCTTAAACCGCCAAACCGCCGGAGCAAAATAGACCCTCATAGAACACATTCTCTAGGGAGTGTTTCTATCGAGTTTCTGTAGAATTGGAAGCGTTATTTGAAGGAAATTTATATACTATTCTGCTAAAACAATGAGATTATTCGCTTTCTATTTGTATGAAGTGATAGTCGATTCCAGCTATCACCTCATAGAAATCTTAAGTTCGTACTTTGATTGTTGAACGGTCTTAGAGTGACTGGAAACAGTTTCAGCACTTATACTTTAATGGTTTAATACTACCATTCTCTTGAAGTCGTTGCTATAAAATTGTCATCAAACATACGCCCAAAGACTGATGGCCAAGTTATGATGACATTAAAGTTACCATGGAAACGATAGACAGACTTTCTCTGGTGTTTCCATAACCTTGATAGAAACACCNCCATGTCACGGGTTATTGTTACTTCTCTATCGGTATTATCTATCTAAAAGCGATACATTTACAGTTTCGAAAGCATCACTACGGAAACCCCTCTACGGAGTCTGCATAATAAATGTCTTAGTATTAGTTTTCTAACTCTACACTGATGGATTTGTTCCAGCCTACATAAAGTTCTTTAAAATTAAAGCGCGTGCACAATTACACATTATCAGGTCTTCTTACGGCAGAAAAGCAGATGCTTCGTACACCGAGAATATGCTGAATTGCCTTTATTACATATTTTTTGTAACTGTTTCTCCTTCATCTGTATCATGCACATGAAAATTTTAAAAAAAGGCCAACATTTTAACGTCCTGATATGGGCAGAAGCAAGGTAAAACTAGCAGAGCAGTCATCCAAACACAACCTTCTTCAGGACTGACTGAAGTGGATTTACTAGACATGGCCTTGTGGACCGATTCCGGATTTAGTTGTTTCTCAGCACTGGATCCGGCCTGGATTTGGCGGTCGCTTGATTTACATTGCTTGGAAAGATCGGTTTCATATTTCAGTTTCCGCTACTCGATCATACGCGGGAAATGATTTCTTTTGGGTAGTATGATGTTGGTCTTCTACATGGGTGGTATGCTTCTGTCTATTGTTCTTCTGGCGTGTCAGGTAAACAGTTAGAAATGACCTTCTAGGAGGCAAATAGCTACATTATTAGTCAGTATAGCATAGATGCTATACTTTGAGCATTTGAATTATTTTATCTGCACATTTTTGGCTATCGTCTTTTACTTGTTCACTTTTGCAGAATCAAACTTCGCGTTGTTGTGTATAAACCTTTCTTATCCGCGAGTGCTCTCACTTAAGTTCAGTTACTGAGAGTGATATCATGCTATCCTTCTGGAGTCCATAATTTTCCATGCATAAATAAGTGGGGTTAGTTTCACGCTGCTTTGGAGCGTCAGAATATGGAACATCATTGTCTCCTGTGTCCTGGGTTTTTCGAGGAACGCATCCGGGACATCGCGGGCGACATCTCCTTTCTTCTATAACAGCCATGATGGCGTTTAATACACTCGAGACAATGCACAAAGCAAATATAGTGTAAAACGTAAAGAAAAGTTCAACGAGCGCGGTTTGTTCCTCGTTGAGTGATTCATGGCTTTCTTGATATACAGAGCTATTTAAGGACAACTTAGTGCTCCTTTGCTGGGGTTTCTCAACAACGTAGTCACCAAAACCGATTGTTGTAAATGTTATGAAGCAGTAATAAACTCTCTCCACGAGTGTCCAGTCTGTGTGATACATTAGCAACACACTATTTAAGGCAATTAAGGATATCATTGTCGAAAACAAGATCACAGCACCCTTAGTTTTCATGTGCTTCGGTTCCAACCTCTTGAGGATTTTCTTTTCGAACTTGGAGACAATTGTGTTCACCCATTTGGCAATGAGTTCGCCGATAGATTTAAACGCGAGCAGTGTGATGGGGATACCAAGCAAAGAGACAAAAATGCACAATATCTGGCCAGTAGGTGTTTGAGGAGTGATCCATCCATAACCTGGATAGAAAAAAAATACAAACAAAATAAAGATGAAATGATTTGATGGGACATCGTTTTTTGCACTGGCTGAAGAGTATGATGAAGGAAATAAGATGCCGAGATATTTTCAAGTTGGCTGGCAACAGTATCCAGTACTTTCAAGTAGTTATACTTTGACGAGTCATTACTAACACAGTTATTAAGCGATGCTGCAATATTGGCATCAGGCAAATACCCACTGTTGGTCATTTTGCGGTCATCTTCATGGCATAATAGATCATAATAGCAACGATACAACCTGTTAAAAACACCCTTAACTTAGGCTTTAAAAGCTTATTTTTTAAAAACGGCTTAGCCTGCGAACAGGCTCCCGGCAAGCGCAATCTTCACTTTTTGTGCTCTTCCTCTCGCTTTGCCTGCCGAATGCGTTCTTTCCGTCCTCGCCAGGAGCCTGTTCACAGGCTAAAAGCGGCTCGGTGAAACTCATTTTTTATTAAGGAATGGTCATAAGCATGTTAAGATACAACTTTTTCCAAAGTTTTAGAAATAATCTGTAGGAATAATCTGTAGATGGGCAAAATTGAACTTGCACTAATTCATAAGACTTACATCTGTTGTTTTTGTTTGCTTACTTCCAACCATAAGACTGTTTCAGTATGGTGAACTGTCATCAACAGCTGTTTGCCGATGCCGCTAAACGTACTAAAAGCTTCGTCCTGTAAAGGATTTCTCAAGTTGCGATATTTTACCTTTCTTTTTTGTATATTAATGTATTCATCTGTTTTAGATAATTTCTTTCCTTACCAATTGTAGTTAAAGCTTGCCAGACGAAATTGACCGCAATATCATAGGTCCATTGTGGTTTAGGTTCGCTCAATGCCTCATATGCTATGCTGGAAATGTTATTAAATTCCTCGAGGCTCATGTTATATTTAGATGCCAGGAACTGGTAGAGGGAATATAGTAACTGATACTTTTCTTGCCTATCATCTTTTTCGGTGTACTCTACTATAACAAATAACCAGGCACTGAGCAAGGCCCACAGCAAGAAGCCAAGAGTCCGGAGAATCGCTGTTTTGATAAGCGGGTCCATCTTCAGGTCCGTTTACACCTTCATCAGCTGAACAGAAAAAAGGAAACAATCCTAACATGTTATGCGATCTTTACTTCGTAAATTCCTAACAAAATACAGAAAGCTGCATTTAAAGAGAATTTTGAATATTTGATAATGAGGCAATGAGGCAGGTGGCACTATTTCTTTTTCTTGCAAAATAAAGGCGTCAAGAGGATATCATTTTGCTGTCTCCTCAGCTTTTTAATCCGTGGATGACAGACTTCAGTCTCCAATCACTTCTAGTTGCCTTGGTAAAATCAGTCCGTTGACGCGTATGCTCCGCACTTAGAAGCCAAGACTACGGAGAACTGCTGTTTTGAGAAGCGGGTCCATCTTCAGGTCTTCACTGAACAAAACTGAAAAATAATTCTTTAATGATGGATGAATGTGCTTAGCTACACCTAGTTGGTTCTAGAAACAAATATTTCAAATAAACAGGATAAACATACTAGGCTTTTTAAAAAATCCTAAACTGGTGCCGTGCGCGGGGAGACAGACCAGTTGGCTAAGAGACAAGTAACCGAGGAGTTGAACGATGTCTACCGAGAAGCAAATGTAACTTAGTGGTCAGAGTGGAACTTGAACACGCGACATCTGAATTTCAAGTCCGGCGCCCTAACCACTCCGATAAGCTGTCTCTACTAAACAGAAAAAAAAGACGAAAATATCCCTAACGTTTTATTTGATTTTTCCGCATGAGTCTAAAGAAATATACTAAAATCTGCATTTATATTATATCAGCATGTTGATTAAGAAAACATGAGTTTAGCGTGGTAGTTAACGGTTACAGACTAATAAGCCGGAACACACAATGGACTCCAAGAATCAACTTGCTTGAATTAGGTATCATTCTTTTGCATACTAATGATTTTTTCATTATTTAACTTATTTGGAACAGTCATGTAAAATACTCGTAAATCAATTTATGGAAGTAAGTCATGTGATTAAAATTTCATGACAGAAACAAATGACACGAACTTCAAATGAAGGTCTATGAATGATTTGAATTAAATACATAAACCATTTCCAATATTACCACATTTTTGACAAAATTTTTAACTCATCGATAACCAGCCTTTACACTGAAATAAAAGTCGAGTTATGTTTTACATGTTCCGAAGTAAATGGAGCTTGCATGATAACTGCATGAAAACGTGAACGTTTGCCACAGGAATATCGCGTAAAGGCTTTGAAAATGAATTGCCTTTAAAAAACGTGCCTGCAGTTAGTATGCACATGAAATGGATAATATATCTACATCTTTATTGTAAAGTAAACAAAAAACACCTTGGAAGAAAAGGCGCGCTAAGAGCTATTCCAAAGCTGTACCAGACCTTCTATAAAACTCGGAAGAAACACAGAAATAGCGCGCACGCGAGCTGTTGACGCAATGATGGCGAGAGCAAGCCTGAGAATTAACAAAAAAGAAGAGGGTCTATTATAGGGGGTCGTACATTTCTTAACCACCATATTTTTCTCATTGGAAACCGCAGGGTGCTTTCGTTCCTCTTAAAAAAACTGAAACCGCCCTATTGGGACGATTATCATCATGACCGATATTTTAACAGTACGTAACAAATTCATTACGATATGTTAGCTCAATAATCGTTTTCTCCTCCATTCAGTAACCAGCGAACAAAACGTTTTGACGTCTAATGGGCTGTTCACAAAAACACAAACATTGCTCGACATGTTTGAATGACTGCCACAAAAACACGCGAAAAACCGAAAACAGCGAGCAAAGTTTATGATTTTCCGCAACCACGCGATAATTTCTTAACCGTAAACTGCGAGTTAAATGTGACTGTACCTAAAAACCGGCACTCGAAATTGGCTTAAACCGCCAAACCGCCGGAGCAAAATAGACCCTCATAGAACACATTCTCTAGGGAGTGTTTCTATCGAGTTTCTGTAGAATTGGAAGCGTTATTTGAAGGAAATTTATATACTATTCTGCTAAAACAATGAGATTATTCGCTTTCTATTTGTATGAAGTGATAGTCGATTCCAGCTATCACCTCATAGAAATCTTAAGTTCGTACTTTGATTGTTGAACGGTCTTAGAGTGACTGGAAACAGTTTCAGCACTTATACTTTAATGGTTTAATACTACCATTCTCTTGAAGTCGTTGCTATAAAATTGTCATCAAACATACGCCCAAAGACTGATGGCCAAGATATGATGACATTAAAGTCACCATGGAAAAGATAGACAGACTTTCTCTGGTGTTTCCATAACCTTGATAGAAACACCGAAAAAAATGTCTATTTCTTAAATATCCATATCAAAAAGAAGTACTTTTATGAGCTTAATGTCGTTAGCCAAGATTTAAACATGAGGTAAAATCGACAAAAAATTGCATCAATAATAAATATGACGAATTCTACTGAAGAAGTTTTGTTTTCTTGGCCAAGATGGCTGAAGTTAAGTCGCTGTCATAAAGAAGGCGGCCTCATACATCTGTTTGCGTAATGTTAAAATTCCAAACATTTCATGATGCTGCATTTTGAATCTAATAGCGAAATAATCAGCCGGGTTTAAATTAAGCAAAGTTTGAGAAATTGAAGTTGAGTTCACTGATTTCAAGAAAAAAAAACTTTAAGTAATATTACTAGTATTTCACCAATATTAGCGCCAAACTCAGAGCCCGATTAACACCTCTTGGTCTAATTATTTCTTGCAAACATATAAAAACGACTTAGAAGTGCGACATCAGTATTCAGAACACAATACTAATAATAATACTTTTATGATCTATCTAATGCACAGGCCGTTGGGCAAGAAAAAACCCTCAACGGGAAAAAATTACCTTTCTCCGGCAGTCTTAACCTACCTGTCAAGCAACAAACGTCAAACCTCCATAGCGAGCTGAAAAGCGCTATGCCGACCAAAACAATTAGCTCATCTCATTTATGCTTTCCCGCTGTCAAGCAGGCCGAGTTATAAACAGCCCACTAATGGACAATTTTTTTATGTCTCAAACTTATGCAAAGTAGCAAGGTAACCAATTATCAGTGAGTTTGAAGTGATGGTCTGTAAAACCCCACCGAAAAATACTAAATAACATTCCCAGATGGATGAAACTCATTATTTCAGTTATGTTGGGAAATAAGGAATAATTTGTTGGCATGATGTTAGAAAACAAAGATCTGAATTGTCCCTATGCAGTTGCTGCGCAATGAGGGTTTTTAAAGTACCCCTACCACTACGGGCTACATTAATGGAATCTTTAATTAAGCAATAGACCACAAGTTTTTATGGTTTATAAGCTGATAAACCACGAGGGATGTTGGAAGAACAGGAGAAGAATTCGTAAATCACGAGCGGCAGGCGAGTGATTTACGAATTCTTCGAGTGTTCTGCAAACATCCCAAGTGGTTTATCATGCCCCTAAACCATAGCAACTTGTGGTCTATTTCTTTTATATAATAATTCAGAAGACACGCGAAAATTTTAAGTTTACTGGCACCAATCGGAGCGTGCGCATTCATTTAATTATTATATAAAAAGAAATAACTGATATTCACCTGCACGCGAGCTCAGTGACAAGGTATTGTAATGTATTGTCTCCTTAGCAGATCAGAGGCCATTGCTAATGATGCTACCGATGTCTTTTATTCCGTATGCCGGCAAAAACCATAATGAATATAAAAATGGCGTTACCGGCGGTGTTAATAAGATTCTTGCAACTTTCTACAGTGTATGTTGTTCGAGGATTTATTTTCACCCATTTTAACTATTTCCTGCTTTTGTTTTTCGGGGAGTACATTGCGTGTGAAACGATCGAGAGAGAAAGCAGGTTGTTTTTATTTCGGAATATTTGAAGGAAAAATGATGATTTGTTAGCGACACCACAGTTTGAATATAAAAAATTCGTGTTAATTGACTGAAGAATGATTGTGTCCATGCACCTGCTGTTTAACTAAGCTCATCGGCCAGAGCCGTAATTATGACTTTTCAAAACTTAGAATATTCGCTTCCATTTCATCTCGGTAGCTAACAGTATGCAGATGCAATTGATTTCTCTGTGATGTTGATGTTTTCACGTTGTTGGGGAATTAAAAGCAACTCACTAATATTGGACTTAATGACTTCTAATGTGTGAAAGTTAGTGGAAGTTATGCAAACTAGCAAATTATTGTCAATCAGCAGTGACTTTAAGGTAATTCCATCGAAATAGAACTCACAATAGATTTTCTTTCAAACTTTGCCTGTTGGCTGCCTATATCAAGAGAACTTAGAATTTGAAATAAAAAAGGGGGGGTCCCCATATTCGTTTAGGAACAGGAGGACCTTCAATAAGCCCCATAACTCCTGATTATTTCAGAACCATTCACCTTACGCTTTAAGAGAGCAGAAAAATAGGGAGAAAGTTAAGCGAGAAATTCAACAATGGATGTATTGCATAAATGTTAAGGAGCAATTTGGTAAACGTTTCATGACAGGGATACAAGATGTTCCAAGCACGCAGTGTTCTAGGGCCACATTAATCTTTTACGAGTGCTAGCTATGCTCTCATTTTTCGTGATAATTTTTTACTCTGCAATAGAAATTGGTCCATATTCACTGTATAGAAAGAAGGTGATCTCTGCATTCAAACTTAATAACAAAATCGTTAGGTCCCAGTACTCGTTTCCGAGAAAAAAACGATGATTTGTCTCTCGCAAGCCAAGAGCCACCATTTTTTATATGTTGTATATGTGCACGCGCTCGTGAGCGCGCGCTAATGACGCGAAAATCGTGCGCAGTAGGGATGCGCAATGCAATTCTGAGGAATTACCTTAAAGCGATTGTCTGTCGAACATCGCCAAAAAATTATTGATGTATTTTCGTTCCATCTCCCTCCGGTCGCTTCGCGCTTCTAGTTTCCCCTTCTCACCCCCCTTTGAAGGCCTGCCACGCTAGAATAAACTCTTGACCTCTCCTTTTTCTCTACCAGACCCTGCTCGTCGCCCGCCTGATTTTTCGATCGTCCTCACTGACTGAGAGCCTTTTCCTAAGAGCGCTCTATACAAAATATGCGGAGAAAAATACAAATATAAAGCCAGAAAGTATATTTGTTTTGTTTTTATATAACGAAATAGCAGGTAGAAATCCTCATCGACTATTAGGGTGCCCAAAAGTCAAACTACATGTAGAGCAATTTATTATGGCAGAAGTAAAGAGTTGGATTAGTTGATCCAAGACATGTTTTGTTTAACAAATTAAGAAGCCTCGACTGTGCTCCGTTCTGTTGTAAAGCATGCAGGAAGGGGTAGAAGTGTAGGGAGAAACACGAGACGCAGTCGAGTGTTTCCCCCTACTTCTTGAGTGCTCTACCGTTTCCTAAGTGCTTTACGACAGAACAGAGCACAGTCGAGGCTTCTTTATTTGTTTTATGATAAAGAATCCAATAATTTCGCCACCCATTATTCGGCTGAGTTTTCAAACCAAACTTTATTTTCCAAACGAGTTAAAGTGGCGCCAGCGTGCATCTGTTCTCTGATAAAGCACGCTAAAATAAGCCGATCACAATCATTGCTAGAATAGTTCAAATTATTTGATTGGCTAAAGAGACGAAAGCTGTCAATCACAAACTGGGCTTCAGCTAAGCTTTCAGTTTCGAGAGGCTTTCAAGAGAAGAACGATGCTTTCAAAGTTCGCTTTTTAGTTTGATTTTTAAATAAGGATCAAAAGGTTTCTGGTCCAGAGGAATCCGGCCGTATTGTGGGTCATGAAAATGGCAAAGTTTGTGGATCAAAATGCGAAATGCTGAGTGGCATTTTGAAAGAAACTACTGTTATTTACGGATTGCAACTGGCGTCAAAGTTGGACAGACTAGACTGCTCCCACTGGTTCTGCTCCGAGTACAATGGAGAATATCAGAACAAGCTTTCAACTGATCACTTTGTTGAGGTTCACTTCGCTGAGGTGACCTGAGATCGCTAGTAAGCAAACGAGCGTTACTACACTACATGTAAGGTAGATGTTGTTTCAGCATTTTTCCAAAAATAAAGCTTCTCATCGTTAACAGAGACAGCTCAATTGGTGTTTTCTGTCGTTGTTTTACTTCTTAACTACGGTATAATTTCTGCCTTCGTAGCAAATATAAGGTCTTTTATCGAAGCATTCGCTAGGTTGAGAATTTGTTTATTTCGCTAAGTGTTTTGTCGGAATCTAGCAAAACTTATTATTTTAGTACAGTTTTAACTCTACTGTTGTTAACAATGGTCTCCGTGCAACCATATTTGCTGAAGACAAATAGCTCGTTTCCACCGCGTTTTTCTAAGTCACAGGGAACGTTTAATTTGGGTCAAATTTGTCAAAATTTCGAAGCAAAAATTTGAACATCAACCCGTGCTTTGTTCTCTGATAAAGCACGCTGTTTCAGCTAATCAGAGCGCGCGTTATATAGAAACTTTATTGCAATAATGACTATGGCTCAAAGAAAACTTCCCGAAGTCTTCTGGAGTATCCAGTTGTTAATTAACAACAGTTGAAGTTTAGTTACTTGTCATACCGGGGTTAAGGAATTGAACGTGATATCGAAGTTGATAGAGTTCGGACGTTGCCAGTGACCCAGATTTGGTATGGGCACTGGGGAATTATTGGGAGCAACTTGGGAAAACCTTTAATAGATTGGTACCCTTCCATAGCCGGGGTAGTAACTAATGATGAAAGAGAATAAAGACAAAGCTACCGGGCTTGTGCCTATACTACAATTAAATATCTTTTATTCACATTTTCATGATTACATGTGTTGTCTGCATGTAGTTTTTTTGTATTTAAGGATGTCTACATGTAGAGCATGTTTCACATAAGAGCTTCAGTTTTGAGAGCAACGTAAAATCGAGATCATTTCTACTGGCATGTTACTGCAAGAAAGGCGAGTAATCAAAATTTAAAGCAAAACCTTTTTCAATCGATACGACTCGACAAGTCAAGGGTGTCAATTGTTGCCCTACTATGTGTACCGGCATTATGTACAGAGATTTCGTGAAAAAAGATGGGTTACTTGATAAACGTTCTTTCTCCCATGTGATCATGACTCTAAGCAAAATCTGAAGTTTGCTATCCAATGTTTTCAATTAATTTCATTCTGTGATACCGATCCCATACCTTCCTTCTCGAATCCGGCATTCTCCATTCTAAAGTGTGTCATCCCTGCTTCACGCCGCTCTGGAGCCTTATCTAGCTCATTTTCCGGGCGGCTCTGCCTATTTCGAGGAACACATCTGGGACATCGAAGGCAACTTTTTCGTTCTTCAAGAGCGGCCATGATGGAGTTTAACACACTTGAAACCACACACAGTCCCAACATGCATTGAATGATGAAAAATATGTCAAGGAAAAACAAAGTGGTGAATTCCTCTCTGTTAGCTGGTTCATCTTTGTTTAGGTCATTTTCGCTGGTATTTATGAGCTTTATAGAATGCGTGGGAATTTTATGAGGAATATAGTCACCAAAACCGACTGTTGTAAGTGTTATAAACCAGAAATATACTCCTTCCACGATTGTCCAGTCCCAAGAAAACATCGAATACGATGCATACAGAAATAGAATGGCCACCATTATTGAAAACAAGATCACGGCACTCTTAGTTTGCACTTTTTTCGGTTCCTCCCTTTTAAGGATCTTCTTTTCAAACCTGGTGATAATTTCGCTGACCAATTTTGTAACAAGTTCGCCGATGGATTTTAATGTGAGCAGTGTAACGGGAATTCCAAGTAAACAGACGAAGATGCACAATACCTGGCCAGTGGGTGTTTGAGGAGTGATGTATCCATAACCTGCAGAACGAAATAAAACCTAGCTTTATTTCAGGAGTAGGTTAGCAGGAAAGAAGACACTCAGACAACGTTGTGCTTGTTTTAAAGGCCTGGTGAAATTTAACTCCTCGATGGTCATGTTGCATTTAGATGTTATGACACGAACAAAGGGAGTAACAAGTAGTTACCTTGATTTGTTACGTTTTGTTATTAGTGAGGTGGCTTAGGGTGATTTTAAGGCTAGATCGTTACAGAGTGGGAGAAAGCATGAAATATGGCACAAAGAATCTTGTTGGTATAAGAAACAAATTTAGCCTGGGAGCCACGTGATTCGATGATCGGGGGTAGCGGGGAAGACTTGTCATTTCAATTCTCGATAAGCTTCATTAGCATGAAAACGAGGCTGATAAATCAATCCATAGCTTTTATGCTTTTGATCACCAAATTAAACCAAAATACGTCAACAGCTTGTAAATTAGGTTGTGTGGTTCATTTAGATAGCCTTAACGTGTTTATGTCAAGTGAAAATAGCATGTTTCTTGCTTTTTCGCTCATGTTGAATGATCTGA